TAAGATTGCCAGGAAATTGGCAATCGTAGGGCTCTGGTGCATTCACTGGTACCCGGCCGATCGGCCTCCCATGAAAGTGGTGGTTCAGATGCTGGAGGGAGAAGAGTGCCCCATCATGCCGAAAAATCCTTTCGTTTCCTCCGGTTCAGGGGATGCTGCGACCATGCAGGGAAGACTATGGAACACGGATCTAAAAGTTATCGCAGAATAAGTTTGAGTGCTCTTTCGCAGTATGTCATCTCCCTTTGACTGGAATGGATGTCAAAAAGTGAGAAAAGTAAGTAGATCTGTGATCGAGAAGCCATCAGCTAAATTTAGGAACTCTCTCTACCGCGAAATAGCCTGACAGCCATTGATGCGCACCCACTACTTACCTTTCGTATCAGATGCAATATGTATAGAGGAATTCCTTTCCTCTTATATTTCGAACTAGGTTAGTTATTACGTAATACTAGAATCTATCTACTTATTGGAAGTTTGTAATATATTAAGTATTCTGGATTTAATCACCCATCGCAAATGCAGTTCATCCTGTATGCTCCGGGGTATACAGCAGCAGTTGGTTTTTGGGACAAGAATTGTGCTTTTGTCTGCTTGAGGAGTTGAAAATATCTAGCTTCAGCAAATTTAAGAAGGAACGAAAGTACTACTACAAGAAAAATTGATCCTTCTCGTGAGGATGACAAATTTTAAAATATGATAAGTCGCAGACGACAAATTTGCAGAAGCACTAAAAGAAATATGTTTTCGAGGTCGATTCAATCAAGATTTGAAATGACTTCGGTTTGAAGCTGCTTGAAAGAGATTGCGTCAGTGAATAAGGCTAGCACGAGGGCTTCATTGACAGAGGGAGTTCTTACCAATGAATGGCGACTCGGCTGACGAATTTGGTTACTGATATGCGCCGTACCTGGACAACGTTATCGTTTCAGTCCTTTCGAATAACTAGTTGCGTGTCCTTTTGAGTGAACACAATAAGACGTTCATCTTATCCATGTACATTTGATTGAACTCTCCATCATTGCCTTCCAATTCAAGCCAAGCAAAACTAATCGTCTGGTTTTTCTACCACTCTTGAGCTCTTTCAGCTAAAAAATACAACAAAAGGAGACTTTTTGACTGTGAAGTCGCTATGCACAAAAGTTCAAGCACCACAGAAACAGGAAAATCACCACCCAAAAAATGGCTTCAAAGCCAACTCACATAGATGGAAAATGCTCCTTTTGACGCATCTGAGCATTTTATTCTAAAGTAATTCTTGAGAAGACTTCTTCAACCTGTTTGACCAATTTCAGTTGGTGGCTGTCTCATTTGGACGTATGCACTGCATAATTGGCCACTTGGCAGACTGTTGAACAATCTTTTGCACTAGTATACAAGATCATTTACTCTCCTCCGACCTGGACCAAGAGCTTAAAGTCTCGAGTTTATCCATCACGAGTCTTATACTGCGGCGATCAATTCGAGTCCTCGAAATGTAAAATTGCAGGATTATCAAGTAAATGACAAGATGTACCCGTCATCTGCTTCGACGTTTCATAACTCCCAAAACTTCACGCTTTGCGTATACTTCAAATGTACACTGTCCCACAACCCTCTCCAATGAGTCGGACCTCTGTTTTTTTCTCCAAGACCTGAAACAATCTACTGTGGTTAATAGTGTAAAAGAACGAGATTTAACCTAATATAGGAGTACTTTATCCACTGCTGACAGAGATGTTTAGGAACTGAGCAATCCCTTGAGCCCGCACCGCAGCAACCCCCGCCGGCACCGGAGATCGTCACTGAGGTCCGACAAGATGACCTGCTCGTAGAACGGCCATTCGACCGTGACGGGGACGGTCTTCGTGAGCGCGCAAGAGGAGGAGAGGCTGCTCAGGACACCAGGTTGAGGAGGTTGCGAAGACCGTGGAGTTGGAGCCGCTGAGACAGGCAATTGGGTTCAGGCCGTACTCTGATGTTGCACTTTGGAGAAACGATGCTAGATCGCGGGGAAGGAAAAGGAGTTGAATGGTTGCAAGTTTGACTTGTTGACCAAACATTAGATGGAAGTTATTTGGTCAAAGAAGTCAAAGCATGATGGAAGTTCATGGGACAAGTGCGCAAGTAGTGATTACTGATTTCCCCTACTAAAGTGTTACCACTTTAACGCCACCGGAGTTCTGTCTTTTCATTGTATCTTTCAATTCCCTGCATTCACTTTCGTGCAATTTCCAATATATGCACTTCATTTCCTTATAATTGCAAAGTTCAATGTAATTAACCTTTCATTGCACGGTGCCCCATTCAGCGTGTTTTGTCCTCGAGTACATAACCGCAAAGCGATCTCGATCACTTTCCAATCGTCCGATGTCCTGATCACTTTAGTGAATGTTGATTTTCATAGACACCTCTTTTGGATACGTCCACATATCGATTTTCCCCCGACATGTTCACGCCAAGTGCTCTCTTAACTAGACCCTATCAGTAATTGTCCATTTGTATAGTATTTTTTCTTTCACGGCCAAAGCAATTTTCATCTCATATTTAGAAATCTTTTTTTTTTTGTTGCTAAAACTAGTATCTAGAGATCTTTCAAACATCCGAACAACAAATCAGACGGGCCACACAAAATCTGAAGAATAAAACTAGTCTTTTGCTAGAAAGGAAAACATTTTGCTCAATGTAAGCATAAATGAGAGAATTCGAAACCGCTCTACTTCTTGCATAGCGTAGGAGTCGAATCCCACACCTATAATACTAGCATCCCCACTCCCCCGAGTCCATTTACCAACATGACCGCATGTCTATTGGCAAACAAACATCGATTATGTCATAAAAAAAAAGTACCTGTGTTTCAATCTCGAACATTGCTTACGAAGAAGACCAGGTTTGAGAAACATTTCCAGTCTTGGGCTGCATGTGGCCCGAGAGCAAGATTGGCACTAAAACATGGAACTTCTAATTCTAAATAGATTAGAGCGGAACATCCATACAAACTAAAGGCTTGTACATTTAATTTGAGAGGCTCAAGTTTAAGCCGCTCAGGTATGGAAGGGGCTCAGCTCGAACTTTAGGAATGCATGATTCGAGAGGATTGCTTGAACTTTAGTGGACTTTTTTATTCTGCGGTTGCCAAGATATCGCACGTCACACTCGGTGATGCGAAATATCGAACCCACCCCATACCTTTAATCCCCTCGCGCATGTCTATTAGGGACTGGAAACGGAATTGTTTATCCGTCCCCCTTCTAAATCTCGTGTAAATAGCTCGATTACATCACTAATACTCGATTACACAAATGATGATTGGATGATTCATAAAGGCCTGCGTAGCTCTCTCAGAGAATTCTCATTTGAACTCAAAAAGGGTTATCGACCAAACCCCCTTCTTCTCCTGGGAAAATAGAACTCATCTCCAATCAAAAAGGTAAAAAAAGAAAAACGCTGGTTGAGCTCGATCAGCAGAGCCCCAAGGATGGTGGGTCGGATGAAGAAAGAGAGAGGGGGCGTGGGGGAGGACTTGCTCTGCGACTTCGAGCTTGACCCGGCAAAGTTGCGTGCGCACTCAGTCCAGCAATGATGGTGCGTTAGTCCGGTAAACGCAAACCAACAGCAGAGGAACGTGAAAAACAAGACAGTTCAGGTCAACTTTTTGTTTGGAAAGTCTCAAAACTTATCACGAAAATATAATTAAATCGTCAAACTTTAAAAAAAAAAAGTAAAATCAAATCTTAAAATTTATCAAATTACGACTTCGAGCTTGACCCGGCAAAGTTGCGTGCGCACTCAGTCCAACAATGATGGTGCGTTAGTCCGGTAAACGCAAACCGACAGCAAAGGAACGTGAAAAACAAGACAGTTCAAGTCAACTTTTTGTTTGGAAAGTCTCAAAATTTATCACGAAAAATATAATTAAATCCTTAAATTTTTTAAAAAGAAAGATAAAATCAAATCTTAAAATTTATGAAATTAATCGAATCAAATTTTCATTGACTGCATTTTTTAAAGTTTTAGGATGCGATTACAGTTCTTAAAAGTTATAGGACTCAATTACGCTTTCATGACAAATTTTAAGAATTGATTGAACTTTTTGAAAGTTTTATGACTCAATTATATCTTCATGACAAGTTTTAGGACTTCCATTACGCTTATTCCAAATTAAAACAAGCAATCATTGGAAGCCACCGGCGGTCGTGGACCTCCAATGAGCTGCTTGTTTTTCTTTTGGCTTTTTGAGGCCATGGACGACAAAAAGCTAGCGGCCATGAACAGCAGCGTCGCCGGCCATCATCCTCACGAGCCTGACTCGTCCATGGCCGTCCAGATCTGGCAATCTGGGCCCTCGCGGCCATGGCACCGCCGGCGGGGTCATCTAGACCCTCGGCCGGATCTGGAAGTCTGGGGAGCACCCAGCCGAGGATCCGTCCTCGGCGTCATCTAGATCTGGGACCTTGGCCTCTAGCGACGTACATGAAGAGGCTGCTTTACTCTCCATCATCCACGGCTTAGATGGCCCCTGGTTTTTTTGGCCTTGAGCAAGAATCTCAGATTTGAGAGTTGGGGGAGGGAGCAACATGGGTCAAAACACAAAGTGGATCTTTCGGCCTAGGACCAGCCAAAAGGTACTGAGAGGCCTCAGAAGACATGGCCGCAAAGCTTCTGTCGTCTAATGTTTCCCGTCTTCCTCCTCCTCCATCATCCCTGGCTCGGGAGGCGGCTCAGCTAGGACGTGGTGCTAGCGAGACTCCGCCGGTAGCGACGCCGAGGGGAGGTTTCGTTACGCTTGCCCGTGTCGTTGCCACGTGTCAGTTTGTGATTGGATTTCAGTAAAGAAAAAAAAAAAAGGTACCCGTACGTGACCACTGCCTATAGAGATGAGAATAAAAGGGCCACCAGATCAGCTACCATTCCTTCCGAGAGAAGAAAGTGTAAGGAAAACCAGTCGCTCCATCCATTATCAATAACCCAAACAAACCCTCACGTAAGATCTCAGTTTCATCAACACCAGCACATCCTCCATGCGCTCGCCTCTTCCCTCTCTCTTCCTCTTCTTCCTCTGCTTCGCCCATGGCACCACAGACAGCCACCACCACGACGGTTGCTGCGCCAAAAGGTGCCGCCACGGGCCAGAGGTCCGTTTCCCGTTCTGGCTCAAAAACCGACAATCTCCCGAGTGCGGCTATCGGGACTTCAACCTGTCCTGCGACAGGGACGGGCAGACTAAGCTCTCGGTCCCAAACACCCCACAAGGGCTAGTCGTCGAGAACATCGACTACCACTCCCAGTTCGTTATCCTGCAGGACCCCACCAAGTGCCTCCCCTTCTGGATCCCGAACCTCAGCCTCCTTGGCTTCTCCGCTTACAAAGAACCGTCTTCGTACCAGGACCCCTACAACTACACCCTGTTCAAGTGCCCGTCGCCCGAGAGGACCGAAATGACAGAGTTGGCTTGCCGAAGCGAGCCCGGGTCATACAAAGTCTACGCCGTTGATTCCTCCACCTACGTCGGAGAATGGCCGCTGGTGTACTGCGAGAGGAACGGGAGCCTCGACTGGCTGCCAAACCCGATCTCCAGCATGATCGCCAAGGCTCGTTTCGACTGGAAAGAGCCGGACTGTAGCGAGTGCACAAAGGACAGGTTGTGTCGACGGAACGGGAGCAACATCGAATGCATTCCGCGTCCTCATGGACACCCCGGTATTGTTTTAATATGAGTCGAAGGCCCGTGCGGACGGTTCCGAAACTTGATATTTTTCATGAGACTTTGCTTGACTCTGTGATATCTCACTTTCTTTAGTTCAAGTGATTATTAATGCTTTCATACTTTATTTACGCCATTCATTCCAAAGTTTTAAAACTCGGGTGATGGATATAGCAAAGTTGCTTTCTGACTTATGGTTGTCGTAATTCGTCAAGTTTATCTTTTGTAAAGATAAGATCCATGGAGCGCAGAGGAAGGAGAATCATAGTTTCTGCACAAGAAATAGGGCTTCTGCCAAACTAAAATTACTTTTATATGTGCAGTTCTGTCGGATGGATGTATTTCCATAAATTGGTCTTATTTCACATGATACTGTTTGTACTCTAAATTGAATGGAGTTCTGAATCCTGATTGCCTGTTATATAGAATGATCCGATGCCCTGTAATGAAGAAGCTGATATAACTAGTTTTGAGGGCTTTTCTTCTAGTTATTTCATCGTTCATACGAACTTCGGCGGAAGCTCCAATACTGACTTCTCTGATTCTGCAGAAAGAGAAATCGGGGGAGGAGTCGGGGGCTTGTTTTTCTTTCTTGTTGGATTGATTGGACTAGGCTATGTCCTCAACGAAAGAAGAAGAGATAAAGCATTCCGACTCAAGATCGAGAGCTTCTTGCATGACTAGGAGGCCCTCAAGCCGACCCGTTATTCCTACAACGACATCAAGAGGATAACTAATGACTTCGAGGAGAAACTAGGCCAGGGGGCTTATGGAACGGTCTACAAAAGGAAGCTTTCGAACGAGATTTTCGTCGCCGTGAAGATGCTGGACAATTCGTTCGGAAAAGGAGAGGAGTTCATCAACGAAGTGAGCACTATGGGAAGGATTCACCACGTCAACGTGGTTCGGATGGTTGGTTTCTGCACGGACGGGTTCCGAAGAGCCTTGGTGTACGAGTTCCTGCCGAACGAGTCTCTGGAGAAGTTCATATTTCCGGGCGAAGATGCTCTCGACCCTTCCCTTAGTTGGGAGAGGCTCCACGACATCGCTCTCGGAGTGGCCAAAGGCATAGAGTATCTTCACCAGGGGTGCGATCATAGGATCCTCCATTTCGACATTAAGCCGCACAATATCTTGCTGGATAACAACTTCAATCCTAAGAATGCGGATTTCGGCCTGGCAAAGTTATGTTCCAAGGAACAAAGCGCGGTGTCCATGACCGCGGCCAGAGGTACCATGGGCTACATCGCCCCGGAAGTCTTCTCCGGGAACTTTGGAAGCGTGTCCTCTAAGTCGGACGTGTACAGCCACTACAAAAAAACAAGGATTTTGCCACGGAATTTAGCGACGGAAAATTTTTCGTCGCTAATTTGCGACAGAATTTCGTCGCTAATTTGCGACGGAATTTGCCACGAAATAAAAATTCGTCACAAATTAGCGACGGAAAATAAATCCGTCACAAATTAGCGACGGAAAATAAATCCGTCGCAAATTCCATCGCTAATTTGCGACGGATTTTTTTCCATCGCTATTTTTGCAACGGAATTAGCGACGAATTTTTTTTCGGTCGCTATTTTGCGACGGAAAAAAAATTCGTCGCTAATAGGATTTTTCAAACTTCAATGTATGGACTACCACCAAATGAGTTTGACCATTTGTGCGATGAACAATTTGCAGCATGGTTCAAAACATATGTAAGTTGCCTATGGACCAAAACCAAGTTATTAATATTTTATACATCATTTATTAAAATATATATTATTGACTTTGCGTGTGTGACCTTAGGTTCACAGTAATTATGATGAAGTTGGAGAGTAAGGATTGCTATACCATCTGTCATGGGGTCCAAAGTCAAGAGTACGAAGTTGGCCAGCATATTTCATAAACGGATATAATTTTCACACTCAAGAATATGGAATGGGAAAAGCTACAATAAATAGTGGTGTGTATTCAGTCATCTAATGGTGGCAGTTAAAAAGATGATTTTTATGGCTTGTTGGATGAAATCATAGAGATAGAGTACCATAGACCATTAATGCGGGTTGTGTTATTTAAGTGCAAGTGGTTCGACCCCGTCAAAGGAATGAAGGTGCATACGAAGTTTAATTTGGTCTAAAGAAATCACAAGAAAAGGTATATGAAATATGAACCATTTGTCTTGGCACAACAAGCAATTCAAGTATGTTATGCATCATATCCTAGTTTGAAACGTGACAAAGCTGATTGGTGGGCTGTATGTAAAATCAAAGCACGAAGAAAAATCGAGGAACACTGGAAAGATAGAGCCTATTAATAAGAGGAAGTTTGTACCACGGTTGAAACTGAGTAATATAACATTCCAACTTTACGAGATCCATGTGGAGCAATGATAGATGTGGATCCAACTGAAATTCGCGAATCAAATGTAGAATGTGGTACAGAAATCTGATTTTGAGACAGATGATGAAGATGATGCTCATGAAGAAGATGAAGATCAAAATCAAGACGAGGACGAAGATGAAGATCAAGACGAAGATGAAGATGAAGATTAAAATTTTTGTGACTTTTCACTAATTATGTGTAATTATTATTGCGGCATGTGTTATTTTGATTGTCATAATAATTATTATTGTTCTTGTTGTTATTGTTATTGTTATTATCATTATTATTGTTGTTATTATTAGCGACGGAATTAGCGACGGAAGTGATCTTCGCGGCACATGGCGCCCATTTTTCGAATCAGTTGCTAATTAATGACGGAATTAGCGACGGATTCGAAAAACTGGTCGGTATAAACATTTCCGTCGCTAATTATCGACGGATTCGAAAAAATGGGCACCATGTGCCGTGAAGATCACTTCCGTCGCTAATTTGCGACGGAAAATAAATCCGTCGCTAATTTGCGACGGAAAATAAATCCGTCGCAAATTAGCGACGGAAAATAAATCCGTCACAAATTCCGTCGCTAATTTGCGACGGACTCGAAAAAATGGGCACCATGTGCCGCGAAGATCATTTCCGTCGCAAATTAGCGACGGAAAATAAATCCGTCGCAAATTTCGTCGCTAATTTGCGACGGATTTATTTTTCCGTCGTTAATTTGCGACAGATTCATTTTTCGAATCCGTCGCTAATTCCGTCGCAAATTAGCGACGGAATTAGTGACGAAGTGATCTTCGCGGCACATGGCGCCCATTTTTCGAATCCGTTGCTAATTCCGTCACTAATTAGCGACGGAATATCCGTCGCTAATTCCCGTCTCAAAAAGCCACTTCTTTAATTGCCGCCCATTTGACCAAAAAAAAAAAATTCCCGCCCATGCAGACCGTCCTTTTCCCCCCTTCTCTCTCTTCCTTTTTCTTTTTCTTGTCTTCTTCCTCCTCTTCTTCTTCTTCTTCTTCTTCTTCTTCTTCTTCTTCCTTGCGCGCACGTCTGCTGCTCCGCCTACAACTCATCGACGGGACCCCCACCGCCGCCGCCGCTCGTCTGGTCACCGCGTCGCCATCTGGCCGTCAGGCTCCACCCGGCCGACGTGCCACGGCCTTCGCCCCTCGACCGCGCCTCACCCCGAGCCAACCGCAAGTGCGACCTTCCGCCTAGACCAGCAACCGCCGCTCGTCGCCCCGTGGCCGCACGCCGTCCGCCTTGCGCCGGCGCTCGTCCGGCCGTCCGTCGCCGACGCTGTCTCCGTCCGCCGCCGTGTTTTTCGCTCCCTAGCCGGCTATCTTCCTCTCCCCTTCGCGCGCACACGGCCCTTCGCTCGCGTCGCGTCCAGTCGCTCGCCCAGCGTTGTCCGGCCACCGGCAACGCCGCCGTGCCGCCCCCAACCGCCGTCCAGTCACCGCACGCTGTTGCCATCAACGCTGACCCCCCTGTTCTGGCCGCGCCCTCCGTCCCGGCCAGCCCGTCGTCGCCAGACCACCAACCCGTCGTCCCCGTCGTCACCAGCTCGCCAGCCGTCGTCGCCATCACTCGCCTTCTCATCGCCGACGCCTTCGCCGTCGTCGCGCTCGCCCGGCCAGCCCAGCCGCTCGCCCGGCCACTCGCCTGGCCGAGCCTACCGCCGTCCCAACCACTACCTCGGCCACTCACCCCTCACCTGGCCGCTTCCCGGCCGTGCTGCTTGCCCGCTCGTCGTCTAGCCGCCCAAGCCGTCGCCCGTCGCCGCTCCCCGCTCGCCCGGCCACTTGCCCTGCCGTGGCCGAGCACCTAGCCTGTGGCCGAGGGCCGTGCCGACGACCGTGCCGAGGCATCGCTCATTGGCCGACCGTTGTGCCGACCACCGCACCGAGCCCGTTGGAGCTGCAGTTACTCCATTATTTAATCAATGTTAAATATAAATTCTAGAAATTAATTTTGCTTTTAATTAGATTTAAAAACTAAATCGTCCGTAAACAATATTCGTCGCACACTTCGTCGCTAAAGAATTAATAAAAAATCATCACTAAATCCGTTCCGGACCAACGTCTGTGGCAAAAGTCAAAATTTGGAATGGTAAATTAGTGACGAATTTCACCACGAATCAGTTGGTCGCAAATTAATGACCAAAAAAAAAAATTCATCAAAAATTAGCGATAAATTTTGCCACGAATACATTTCGTCGCAATTTAGAGACAAAAAAAAAAATTCCGTGGCACTTTAGCGACGAATTTTGTGACGAATACAGTTCGTGGCTAATTTGCGACGAATTTTGCAGCAAATAATTAGCGACGAATTTTGCGACGAATACAGTTCGTGGCTAATTTGCGATGAATTTTTTTTTCGTCGCAAATTAGCGACGAAAATTGATATTTTCCGTTGCTAAATTTTGTGACGTCGAATTAGCGACGGATTTTTTTCCGTCGCAAATTTCGTCGCAAATTCGTTTAGCGACGAATTTTGCCAAATTTTTCGTCGCAAAATTCGTCGCTAAAACCTTGTTTTTTTGTAGTGAGCTTCGGAATGCTGCTGCTCGAAATGGTCGGGGGCAGGAAAAACGTCGACGTGAACGCGAAGAACATGAGCCAGATGTACTTCCCGCAGTGGGTCTATAAC